CCCCAAAACCCCAAAACCCCAAAACCCCAAAACCCCGAAATAAAATTTATATTGAATCGATAAATTTAATCCGATATGAGTCTGTGCAGAATCAAAAAGTGTCGTTTTAAGCCAAGCGATGAGGCACTAAATCAAAGAATCGCATTTGAATTATCAAAAACTTTGCCTTTTCTTCATAAAAAGAATGGTAGAAATAGGTTTAAATCTCAAAAGAAAAGCTCACTACAATCAATGAAAACTCTGAATGTAAGTATTTATTAGAATCGGGATATTTTTCCTTTGTATTTTTATCATAACCAAAATTTTCTCACTTTAAAGGGTACTGAATACAAAGATTTCCCTGTCAGCTCTATATTTTACCTAGCATGCCATATACGACTCTTGAACGCCACCCAAAAATCCTGATCCTTATAACTCAATTTTTCATTTTGGTCACTCAAAATCCAGGAAATCTCCCTTAAGAATTCGCCAGCCTCAGAGCTCAGATGGATCTGACACTGTAACTATTAAGCCATGTAAGAATTTCTAGTACTAATTTTGCTGCGAAACCCTTAAAATAAGGATTAATTTATGAGTATTCATGCTTCAGAAATGCTATTCACAACTTGTGTATAGACCAAAGTAAGATGGCCCTCAAGCTAAAACAAACTAGCTCTTCAATAATAAGCAGGAGCAAGAGCAGTCTTTTCCCTGGTGATTCTTATACCAACCTGATCAAGAAGAAGACCTTGATTAAATAAGAAAAAGCTCATCAAGCAGTACCTTAAGACACATAAGTATTCTTTTGCAAGAGAGATCCCACTTCCTTTGCTAGCATTAACAAGTAAGTATTCCATCCTAACCCCTCTGGCTCTAAATATTTCGCTATATTCTTAAAATTTCTAATATCTTCTTAAAAATGGCTACAAAATCAAAAATTTATAGTAATTATAAAATTTTATCAAGCCCTGTTCTCAAATCATCTTTTGCTAATTTCTAAATCTAGAAAAACAGTCACCATTCGATACTCCTAATAAATTCATGGAGAACACATGTATGAAGCATGAGAAAGAAGGATTCATGAGAAGGAACAAGCTCTTGCTAGAGTATCTCCTTCACGAAAGACTAAAAAAGACCAAGTAGATTTATATTACAAGTTTTAAATTGGGTGGTCGATGAGAGGGGTTTTGGGGTTTTGGGGTTTTGGGG